GATCTATGAAATAAACTATTAATAAGAAATATTAAATGATATATTAAACAATAACACTATTTAATTTAAATATATATACCTAGTATGTGTATATTCATTACTGCTGCTATTCGATTCTTGTGTTGTTGATTCAGATTCATCTAATTGTAATGTTGGTTCAGATTCATATAATTGTGATTCTGGTTCATCTTCCTCATTAAGCCTTGGTTCATCTTCCTTATCAAGCCTTGCTTTATATTCCTCATCAAACCTTGCTTCATATTCCTCATCAAGCTTTGCTTCATATTCCGCATCAAGTCTTGCTTCATATTTTGCATCAAGCCTTGATTCATATTCTTTATCACAAGGAGTAAATAGAGTTGACATTATAATTACTAAGCAAAAGGCTTTGAAACAACTTTGATGAATGTTCAGAAAAAAAAATCACAAGTAATTTAAAAAAAAAAAATCACTATAGGCAATTAAAAAAAAAAAAGGATGCGTGAAACTTATTTAAGAGGCTAGTTATAAAAAAATCACACGAAATTCAAAGCACTAATTGTCATGGGGTTAATGAATATATATAACAAACAATATCGCTTTACTTCCAACTTCTTTCTCTATTCAAAACACCTAACTCCTCCTTAATAAACAACACCCTTCTACCAACTAACACAAGGTATAATGATACTATTACTTTAGTATAGGTTTATCGCTCAAGAAAATCAAAAAAGTAGAGGTTTGATTTGTAAGATCGAACTCCATATTTGTTTAATTATCATGTGCACTTACATCATCGATTTTACTAATAAGCTACAATTGACTCTAATTATACTTATCATTATACTTCTACATTGCATAATGTTAATTATGTCACAACCAATAAGTGAATACATATTCTAGCAGATCCAATTCGGATATCAAATCAGATCCCTATATATATCTGGATTCGTCGAATCTTATAAATTATGGAACTGGATTCGGTCCGATAGGTCAGATTCAATTCGGATATCGGATATTGGATCAGATCTGCAGAACACTAGATAAGAGTATAATATGCTATCAAACTATTATTAATATTTCATAATATGTAGAACCTAGAATCTTTAATTCAAATTTTAATAATGATTCTAAAGAGATAAACTTATATAATAATATTTTTTTTTTCTAATTTAGCTGTCTGCCCTTGTTTATTTAGGATCAAGTTATTCAAAATTTCACGTAAAATTACATGTAATTAATCTCTAACTATAGTAGATCTAACCAAACAAAGAACTCACCCACATGATTTTATACATCAGGTGCGACCTGCCTCAGTAGCTCTTGGCCTCCCTCAGAGTCCTTAAC